ACAGCAGCAGTGCTCAGCGGCAGCAGCAGCAGCAGCAGTGCTTAGCAACAGCAGTAGCAGCAGCAGTGCACAGCAGCAGCAGCCTGGATTTGTGTATTCGAGCAACAGAAGGTGCTGCTGCTGCGCTTTTGCTGCAAAGCCCCAACAGAATCTGTAACTGCTGCTGCTGCAACTTCCACTGCTGCTGCTGCAATCTCAGCTGCTGCTGCTGCTGCTGCAATCTCAGCTGCTGCTGCTGCAGCATGCAGTTGCGCGCAACATCTTCAGCCATATTAAAATTTGAAAAAACGGGGGACCCGTCAGTCTGTACTGTCCGCATGCATGCATGCATGCATGCATGCATACACGCATGCATAAAACCAGTGCGTGCATGCATGCGCGCGGGGCTGCATGCATGCATGCCCACTGCGTCTCGTTTGTTGCTTTCAAACTTCCCCAAAAGCCCCAAAGCGAAGCGCACTCAGCCCCTATGCATGCACTCAGATTGCGCATGCGTGCGTGCATGCATGTGCGCATGCATGCATGCACGCATGCATGCGTTTGGGGCTGGGGGGCCACATTTGCTGCCGCACAGCTCACTGGCGGCTTCGCTTGCCCCCGCGTCTCTCCTTCCTGTGGGCCGCAGCAGCTGCTGCTGCTGCTTCATTCAAGGCGTCCGCTGCTGCTGCTGCAGCTGCTGCAGCAGACTGCACTTGACCCGTGCCTGCGTGTGCGGCCTCTGCTGCAGCTTCTGCTGCTGCCCCCGCGACGCCATCCCACTGCTGCTGCTGCTGCTGCAGCTGCTGCTGCTTGTGCCTAGCTTGTTCTTCTTCAAAAGTTTTGAGACTCAGTTCCATTGCCCGCTGCAGCTCAGCCCATTCTTCCTGTGGGGCCCCTTCTTCTTCCCCGAAAAGCTGCTGCTGCTGCTGCTGCAAAAGTCTGCTGCCAGATCTCCTGCCGCCAGTGTGGCGGGGCCTCGCTGTTGCATGGCTTTGTCTCCTTGTCTCCATTGTGGGGCCCCCCGATGTGGGGCCCCCTGCTGGGGGGCCCCCTGAAGAGGGGCCCCCTGAGGGGCCCCTTAAGCGGTGTGCCGATGGGGCTGCTGCTGTTTCGGGGGCCCCCAGACTCTTCTCAACAGAGTCCTGCTGCTGCTGCTGC